AATGATTTCAGCTAAGAACAGGTTTTGTAGTTACATTTCTGAATTAACGGTGAGTGTTTGAAAATCGCTCATATTTCATTATTTAAAAATTGCATTTTGGAGCAGTTTTTCAAGAAATATTTTCCTACGCGGTATAATTCAGAATCGCTTTCAATTGCGGTTTTGGAAACGTGGATATAGTGCTCTTTTTTAAGGAAACTAAAAAACGTTTGGGCCTCTTAACTACTGCAAAGAAAAAGCTCGTGTCATTTCGAGGAAATCACAACATCGACTTGTCAACAACCGCAAATAATCGAATTACGCTTGCTGTTGTTGAAGCCAAAATTCCGACGAAAAGTTATTGCTTTACACCATACTAGACCAGCGACATAGTGTAACGAGATTACCTTGCATAGCCAGTGGTTGAAGGTTGGTTTTATGCCTATTTTCGTTTCAAATGGCCATCTTCGCTCGAGCAGGATTTATCAAATCACGCAATCACTAAATGTTGCCGAAGGCACTTTCTGGAACCATCGTATTTCTCGAAATGACACGGGCTTTTTCTTTGCAGTAGTTAAGAGGCCCAAACGTTCTTTAGTTTCCTTGAAAAGAGCACTATATCCACGTTTCCAAAACCGCAATTTAAAGTGATTCTGAGTTATACCGCAAAGGAAAAATATTACTTGAAAAACTGCTCCAAAATAAGTACCAAACCTGTTATTAGCTCAAATCATTTGTAAATGCCTCCTAGACAATTGCTCAAATTTGGGAAAACCTTGCTGCCCTGTGCGCTTTTAACGAGATCAGTTCTTGTACTCACATTCATCGCTTTCATTTCAACCATTTCATGGCGATGGGGGTCCGTTACAGGTTTTTAGAATTTTCTTGAAATCAAAAATAGATTTGCACACAAAAAATTCTACCACATTAACTGACTTTCCATAGGGTATCTCTGAACTGAATATGACGGTAGGGAATTTTCGAAGCATGTGCCACATTTTTCGGATCTCACGCGGTCTCCAATATTAGACTAAAAGTAACTTTTCTCCCACACAAAATGCTCCTGGAATACCGAGGGGGAAATATCAAGTGATTCCGCGAAGGGAGAAAAAGCCATATTTAGCCGTTTTTATACTATTTTTCAACACTAGGGAAGATCTCGAAAAAACTTGCCAATCAGTTTTCAAGCAGCCAAAGACACTTCTTTATAGTTTCATTGCACTAGTATCGGAATTGTTAATAAAACTGGACAATTATTTTTAGGTTTCCATTGACACAGATATGATTTTGGCTTGTCAAAGTAGAATACCGTGACATTGCTCCTGCAATCAGTAATTTTCGTTATTCACATAATTGCCTTCAAATCGGAGGAAACCTCAAACCGATGATACTGTTTGCTATTTGGTTCAATCTCGCCAAATTTTGACTATTGTGACTTCTCTACATAGGTGGAGAATGGTCTTTCAAAAATAAGAGTCTCGCAAAATTTTAGCTGAATTTAATGGGTCTCGCTGTCTCGTTTTTTTAGCAGTTCTGTGAGTCTCGCAGTCTCGATTTTTTCTCGATTTTTGGCAAAGCTAGTAATGGAAGTCTAGCTCCTTATTTGTTGCGTTCAATAACTGAACCGGCAGTCGAACATCACATGGATTTTATTCGGAATGGCTCGATGTATACGCAAAAGCTAACAATACAACGAGAGATATTTTGCTGGGGAGCATTCTGCCCACGGTTGCTTGCTTACTGGGGACAACCAACATAAAGGTAGAATGCAAATTACGCCACGAGAACGTAAATTTGTTTGTGCTTTGCCTCTCACCGCCCGGATCTCACCGCCCGGATCGGGAAAATCCCCGGCTTTTCAAAATGGCTGTTCCCAGCCTGTCCGCCTACACGTGGAAGAAGTAAAGTCGACCACTCTATTTGTTGACGAGTTTACCGAAGCCGGCCTTTTAGGCAGCTGAAGTCAAGCCTGGGGCATAAGGCAATTGTTGGGAAAGAAGAGGTATCCCAATTCTTCGAGCAGATAATGGGGTGAAGGAAAAGAGTAGACTTGACGTAGAACGCCTGATACAGCTTTATGACGGAGCGACATGGGTCTATACGAAAGCAGACAAATCTGCACGACAGGTATGCTATAGGGATACAAGTTGCTGTAGATGCCCGTGAGGTGACGTTCCCGAATTTTTAAACAAAATACTGAATACTATTTTCTCTATTTTGTCCAAGCAAATCACTACGGTATTTACTTGAATTTGGTAGTTTTTAATTATTGGTCGTAGGGTATGGAAGAAACTTTTAGGAAACGCACGCATCAACTGAAGGGGAAAACCCAAGTGATCAGTAAAGGAGATCACAATACCTTGTCTGACAAAAGGGTTTAGACATATGTTTCGTTGTGGAATAGGCTCTGTATTGCGAGGACCGAGAAGAACTATAACTGGGGTTGCTGGAAGAGAGTGATACACCCCAATCCAAAATTTAGAAGAGTAACCTCACTGCTTCCTCACTCCTCATAGAGGCGCGAGATTGTGCTTGTGCTTGGTACCACCCGATCGTTGTACAATTCCCGTTGCAATGCTGAGAGAAAACGAGAACTTGCTATCAGCTTTACTGACACAATAAAACTTGAACGGAAAACTGTCCCTTACGGCAGAGGAAAAGAGACACGAAAACAGAATAAAAACCAAAAATAGAATACAATATTCTTCGCCCGATGTTTTGGTTTGACATACATAACGTGTAAGGCGGCTAACGTAAGATTAATAGATACGTTAGAACTTTACAGTTTAAAAGTTATATATGCAAACTTCTTAACGTTTAAACTTTAACGTTATAACGTATGTATTCATTTTTGTGATAAATGCAAAATACTTAACATTTAGTTATTCACCACTGCCAGTATGGCTCAATGACGCTCGGCTTCAGACTAACATAGGTGTTTACACTGACTGTAGAATTTGTTCTGTTCAACATAGACCATTCAAAATCCTGGAGTGTCGATTGTAGGCTACAGCCAGCCGGAACGATTCTATCCAATCTACGCAAGATTGAAAGAGCGAAGAGACGGGGCCGTGGACAGGATGCTGATTTATCAGCCCAAGCCAAAGCGACTCACTGCCACAGAGACCAAACGTTTTATAACTCAATTACACCAATCACATGTCAAAGATTTGAGGTAAGCTTTTCGATAATTAAATGGAAACAAAACGAGTGATGACTGTTTTCTTCTAAGCAAATCAGGGCACAGCCATACTTAAATTTGTCAATGGTCGATATTTCATAATGAATCACAATGAAGGATTAAATTTAACACGAATTCTAGAAGTCCGTTGGTGTATCCAAGACCCCTGGAGGAGCCTCGTTCGCATGACTCTTTTTCACAAGTAAGATAGGCGAGAATCTCGGCTATTTTATAACTGATATGTTTTAAGTTTTTACAGCGCGCACTGATTATTTTAAATGGTTTTCAAACTATGTTTTAGTTAAATAAACTTATTCCTAACTAAATCAGCAATTTATTCCGGCAGTGTTGTATGTTTTTTTTAGCAATATTTCAAAAGGACCACTTTAAAATCAAGCAGGTGAAATTTGCACTTAAAAACTTTCATTGGCTCATGTTCAGCGAATTTTCTAGTTGAAACTAAAAACAAACATCAATGAAAGGATTGGATGTGCGTATACTCTTTCCAATGTCGTTGACAGTTTTTCTCTAAAATTTGCATAACGAAGAGAGCACTGAAACAAATCTCGAAAGATGCGGCGGGGTTGGCAACAAGAAGCCTACTTTGAGTTTTTCACAAAAACGAGGCTTTGTTTTTGCAACAATTATTCGTCTCCCAAGATACATTCGGGCAGTGATAAAACCATGTGCGATTTTCACGATAGCGTCGTCGATCTCTGCAATCTCTGGACCAATCGAAGCCACAAATTTTGGCCGAGGAGACGTCCTTCATAATAATAATAATAATTTATATATCGCCTACAGACCTGTTCTATGCGCTTTACCATAATATGCTAATAATACTTGATACACATCGATCAATCATTTTCATTTAGATGTACAGCTTACGCAATGTATAATTATATAAAAGCAATATATATATATACAATAAAGTTTTTCGTAACTTAAACACACGACTGATTCATTGTATTTTTCTTTCCTAGATCGGTTTATGAAGGCATCTACACTTTTGTCACGATGAAAATGACGTCCTCACATTATCGTTGGATGTGGACGGAAACACAGCTTTTGAGGAATTTTTGGACAAGATAGCGGAGCAGCTGAACAAGCAGTGGAGTGATAACAGCGAAAGTGAAGACGTCTCCAAAGATGATCGACACGTGTTGAGACTGGCGGCGGTGCTGCATTTGTTCTATGATCAGCTGAAGAAGAGGTTAGAAAGCCTTCCAGCATCACCGCCAGCTAATGTCGTCAACAAAGCGACGTTGAAGCAAGCCATCGCCTTAGCACACTATTTCGCAGAACAGCGAAAAGTGCTCGATCAGGTAATGGAAAATACTTTACATGATGCATCCAACGAATTCATACTTTATATGAGCTTTAATTAAAATCCGATGCACACACTGATTGGCTGGAGGGCTATTTCATATTTCCTTTAAGTATTCTGAAAGAAGCTATGTCGTCACTTTCCTTAGAAGATGTTCAAGTCAGAAAGGGTTCTATCATTCTCCGCTGAGGTAGTCAAATCTGTTTACAATATGCAACAATATGCAACTCTAAAACAACGCCATGACGTGAGATATTAATTTCCTGATTCTGATAAATTATGTCCATCCGAGAAATCAATTGAGAGATACCAAAACGTTTGTAATTATCGGGTGGTCGCTACTTACGGAAAACGTTATTCCGAAATTCAGAGAACTGTGCATTTGATCAATTGCAAAGTTTACGACAAAAAAACCGTTAAGTTTTTCGTCTGATAGTGTCATTGTATTTTAAGGTGTACATTATAAGATTTTATATTGATGTCTTTAACTTTACTCAGTTGCAGCTTGGAAACATGGAAACCGGCGCGGTAAGCAAGAAGGCAGACCCTAAATCCATAGCAAGTAGAGTACTAACCTGCCCTGGTCCTTTCTCGACCGTGCGGTTAGCACAATCCTCGATAAGTGGACATATTCGTCCAGCGGCAGTCACTATTGTTGAGATAATGCAAAATCTAGAGAGAGATGGTCTCGGAAAGGTTATTGTCGTGGATAGAACCACTGTGTTTTATAAGAGCCTTCCGTGCAACGTTGACGAGGAGGTCCTCGGAAACTATGGTGTTATTCTTGGAAACTACAGTAACCAATTCAAAGAGAGGTGAAAAGGTGACAAGGTGGATCTCGAAAGGGTTTATACCATTTCAGCGGAAGAAGACTGATCAGTGGTGATAATCGGTACAATCACGACTTTAATTTCAGCGAGAACATGCAATGCATCTATCAATCTCAAGGGGTAGGGGTTTTATTGGCATGGCCTGAATATCCACTGTTAGAGTTTTAGCATAATTTTTTGGGGATATTTGATCACCTGCACTTGCCCCAGGGTGATGAACTTTGATATTATGATAATGAGCAATCGTGTTGTCCCGGGAGTGGAACTTTAACATCTAGGAAAATGTCAAAATCACCACCCATACCCCCTCCTTCTCCCCCCGCCCCCTCCCCTTGATATTGCTTCAATCCGGGCTTGTAATTTTATATTTATACAAGGAAAACCCTTGTTTGCTAGATTTTTTTAGCATAGGTTTGATAACATTTTGCACAAACGCGAATTTTAATATTTTTTCCAAGTTCAGTTGCATGTTAATTATAGACCCTTACACGGTTTCTGTTTCATATTAGTTGGGGGCAAACACGACAAAAATTACAGGAAATGTATGGGATTTTTATTAGACTGTACTGTGTTACTAGGAGAAGATATTTTGCTAAAAACGCGACTTAGTTATAATTGTTAATGTTTTACTGTTGGCGATGCCGGGTGTTTATTTTATTCAGGGTTGGATAGCGTGAGATTATAAACATGCTTATATCAAGAGTAAAAATGCACTGCGTGTTAAGACTAATTCATAGAGTACATTCTGAAAAGAGAATCGAACTATTCTGAAATTTATCTGGATAATCAATAATACAAGAGAAATGTCAAAATTTCACACTCATATTTGAAATGAATGCTTTTGAAATTGGTTCCTTTATCTAATAATGTCCAAGGATAATTATAGCTGCATATTTTTGAAGCCAAATAAATTAAAGTTTTTGTGCTTCAATCCTTCAAACATTTTTGCTTAAAGCCGCGCGCTGGTTGTGAAAGTTACATAATGGCCTTTTTATGGCTTTTAGTCTTTTCACGAAGCCGATAGAAATCGTAATGTTTCTTGCTTTTACTTTTAACTGCGGTAATATTTTAGCTTTTCGTCATGAACAAAAAGTTAAATTCTAAAATCAAATTTTGCAAACATGTCACAAAACCAAGCGAAGGCCGCAACCACCTTATTTTCAATCTTGTCACGAAAAGCTTATCGCGGTCAAAATATTTTGAACGTGGGATATTGACGTTTTAGTGTGTTTCGGCTGTTAAGACAGCAAAACGTTCTTACACCCAACGAAGCGAATCTTGTTTGAACACTGGGGATTTCCCAAATTTTAATTGGGGCATATAGGACTACATAGTGTGACGTATTTTGACCATTCACACGCAAGCGAAAATATTTGAGGGATTATAAAGAGAAATAACGCCGTATTAAAATGATAGTAATAAGTTTTTAAATAATAAGTTTATTTAATGCATCTTAACAATAAAAATACAAAAATATTCCGCTCGTTAAAGTTGTACACTTTAAATCGCGTTTGTTAGCCGCATTTCCTACTGTTCTTACTGTTTCTCTGATCTTACTGTTCCTCTGTTCCTTCTGTTCCTCTGTTCCTACTGTTTCTACTGTTCCTCTGTTCCTACTGTTTATACTCTTCCTCTGTTTCCACTGTTCCTACTGTTCCTCTGTTCCTACTGTTCCTCCGTTCCTACTGTTCCTCTGTTCCTACTCTCCCTACTGTTCCTACTGTTCCTACTGTTCCTACTGTTCCTACTGTTCCTCTGATCTTACTGTTCCTACTGTTCCTACTGTTCCTACGTTCCTACTGTTCCTACTGTTCCTACTGTTCCTCTGATCTTACTGCTCCTACTGTTCCTACTGTTCCTCTGATCCTACTGTTGCTCTGTTCCTACTGTTCCTCTGTTTTCACTGTTCCTACTGTTCCTCTGTTCCTACTGTTGCTCTGTTCCTACTGTTCCTACTGTTCCTACTGTTGCTCCGTTCCTACTGTTCCTACTGTTCCTACTGTTCCTACGTTCCTACTGTTCCTACTGTTCCTACTGTTCCTCTGATCTTACTGCTCCTACTGTTCCTACTGTTCCTACGTTCCTACTGTTCCTACTGTTCCTCCGTTCCTCTGATCCAACTGTTCCTCTGTTCCTACTGTTCCTCTGTTCCTACTGTTCCTACTGTTCCTACGTTCCTACTGTTCCTACTGTTCCTACTGTTCCGCTGTTCCTACTCTCCCTACTGTTCCTACTGTTCCTACGTTCCTACTGTTCCTACTGTTCCTACTGTTCCTCTGTTACTACTGTTCCTCCGTTCGTACCGTTCCTACTGTTCCTCTGTTCCTACTGTTCCTAATGTTCCTCTGTTCCTACTGTTTCTCTGTTCCTAGTCTCCCTACTGTTCCTACTGTTCCTACTGTTCCTATACTGTTCCTCTGTTCCTACTGTTCCTACTGTTCCTACTGTTCCTCTGTTCCTACTGTTCCTCTGTTCCTACTGTTCCTCTGTTCCTACGTTCCTACTGTTCCTACTGTTCCTACTGTTCCTACTGTTCCTACGTTCCTACTGTTCCTACTGTTCCTAATTTTCCTCTGTTCCTACTCCTACTGTTCCTACTGTTCCTCTGATCCTACTGTTGCTCTGTTCCTACTGTTGCTCTGTTCCTACTGTACTGTTCCTCTGTTTTCACTGTTCCTACTGTTCCTGTGTTCCTACTGTTCCTACTGTTCCTCCGTTCCTCTGATCCAACTGTTCCTCTGTTCCTACTTAATTCCTACTGTTACTCTGATCCTACTGTTCGTCTGATCCTACTGTTCCTACTGTTCCCCTACTGTTCCTCTACTGTTCCTTTTGCTGCTAGCCATTTGCTATTACGTTATTAATGACGTCAGTCAGGTCGTCGTACACGAGCCATGAGCCATCGATGTTAAGTTTATCTTCGAAAGTGTACGTTTAATATAGGTTTGTCCAGCTGCACAAATATTCTCCAGAAAGCAGATGCCGCCCTCCGAGTTGTCTGCTTGCTGTTTTTGCTATGTTTTTATAGCCATTATTTTGCCTAGTTCCAGCTGACGCTAGTTCTTACTCTTGAAACGACTGAACTGTCCACCATTTTTTATGGTGAATTATGCGTGTGCTTTTAGCCAATCGGAATTGGGGAAATATTTTGAGTATTATAGGATGCCCAGGGGGCAGGGAGCACATTTCGTTTGTATTTTATAGCGCTTTTCGGGCCTTTTTTTCTTAAAGTTTTCTTAGAATAAGATTCTAATGGGAAAAAAGATCCTTGTGCCGTGTTTGGATGTAATAATAGACCTTGTCACGGTTTTCGACGCCATCTTGACGAGTACGCAAATGCGCGAGAAATTACACAGGAAAAAATAACGGATTCCCATTTTTGGATATTTTTGGGTATTTAAAGAATACACAAAAATCCCAAATTCCGAGTGAGACGAGTCCCAATCTGGGAACCTTGGTTGGGAATTCCCTGGTTGGGACTTGTCTCACTTTGCCAAATTTGGGATTTTTATGGGTATTCTTTAAATACCCAAAAATATCCAAAAATGGGAATCCGTTATTTTTTCCTGTGTTACAGTGATTGTATGAGAATCTTATGTGGAATAATTTCCTTAGAACGGCTGTTCTGAAAAAAATATGATTTGTAAACTAAAGCTACAGACTAGAAGACCTAGAACCACTTTTTAAAATTTTCTTTACATTTGTCGGGGAAATTACAGACAAATATATGGAAAATCTAAAGAAAGCCTCTTGTGAAATTTTAGCCTGCGTAGCAAGTGTTTCCGTTTGGTTTCGGAGCAAAGAAAGACCAAGGAACGGGATTCTCGGTTTTGGCCGCGCGAGAAATGAAACAAGAGCCAAAAATGAAAAATGGGGAGGGGGGGGGGGGGAGGGGGGAGGGGGAGGGGAAGGAAGGAAACGCTTGTAGGCAAACCCCTCGATTTTGAAAACCTGCGTTCGCCAGGGAACGCAGCGCCTGGTTGGCTCGTCTAGTCGAACAATATTGACATGTTTCGATCAAAGGTTTGTTTCATACTGAGAGGACGGTATGGTCCCCACCCCCTCCCCGCTCTTTTACTTACGCCATTCTTCGCGCGGTCTTTTACTCTCGTTCCTCGTTCTTGGCTCCTAAACCGCACGGAAACGTTTGCTACGCAGGCTAGTGAAATTAAGAGCAGATACGCCCCAAAATTTTTTTAGGACAATCCTTTGCTTTGCAGCTTTAGTTTACAAGTGATATTTATGGTCAGAACAGCCGTTTTACGGAAATTATTCGACATTAGATTCTCATACAAACACTGTAATTTCTCACGCGTTTGCCTATTCGTCAAGATGGCGTCGAAAACCGTGACAAAGTCTATGATCGCCTTTTTGCCGAGAAATATTCAGTGAAAGACCGTATTTCTAATACTAAACTAGAAAAAGGCGATCATTATTACATCCAAACACGGCACAAGGATCTTTCTTCCTATTAAAATCTTATTCTAAGAAAACTTTTAAGAAAAAATGTCCCGAAAAGCGCTGGGAAAAACAAACAAAATGTGCTCACGCCCCCTGGGCATCCTATAATACTCCTCAAATCGAATTAATTCAATACGGCCGCCGTATCGGTAAAAGGTCTATTGTTTCATTTGAAAGATGTCCGTAGTCTGCGAGGCGACGAAATGGACATGGTGATGGTCAATACGGGGAAGCTCCGCCCAGAAAATTTTTTTAGGCTTCACTTATATGAAATGGTACGGTTTTCACTACTGGAATTATAAGGGTCGGGAGATCTGTCATTACGGTGTAAAAGGACGTTACTAAAGGGCTAACAATGAGAAAATCGAAAAGCCTTTCTAGTTGTGTGATTTATTCAAATTTTAAAGAAGGTACACTATCATCAAAGTTAAACTACATTTCTGAGAGTCTAACTGGCGTTACTCAGCGTTATGTGAGCTAATACATTGCTAGAAACCTGCACTCGCACGCGCGCTTCAAAGCTAAATGCTTTTGAAGCAAACCTTGTCATTTATCAGTGAACATATACAAATTAGAGAAATTGTGCTAATTTAATTTGTAAAATAAATAAAAAGTTCACTTATGGAATAGCCTGTAAGATCAAGTACGGGATGCCTCATTAACCAAGCCGAGAGAGTTCTGCTGCATGGAAGAGGAAAAAAAGACATCCCTACGCCTGATTCAATGTAATAATTTTAATACACCTGAAAGCAGAACGCTACAAAACATTCATACAAATTGCAGGAATAATAGCCTTTGTCGATGTATTAAAATTCTAACATGACTCCGAGGCTTTAGGGCCGCACTTCCTTATAAGAGGCCAATGGGTATGTACCGCTGGATGGGGTCGCATTTTCACGACTGGGTTGACTCTCACGAGGATGCATTTCCTATAGAGTTACTAGAATGGGGTCGCACATTTTCGGATTTTTGGGGTAAGAAAGTTCTTCATATGTACGGTTAGCCAACAAACCAGAATGTTTGTACTGTAGGTGAAAATAAAGTGTTCTTCATTCAAATTTAAAACTGGGACAATTCATTTTAGGATTACCTATTTAAAGGACTATAATTTGTCGCAGAATAGACTATTATGGCGTAGGGGCTCTGAGAGGCTAGCGGCACATAACCAACAAAAGTACCCCCCGGCTTTAGGGTCAAAATTGCAAATTTCTCACAACTCCATTGTCTTGCAATTCCTAGAAGAGACTTGAACACAAAGAAAACCAAACCAAATATAGAAAAATGATCAGAAAGCATCGGAGTCACCTTAGAATTTTAATATATCGAACGTGGGCCATTGCAGCAACAAAAAGATAGTTTGGCTGCAAACGAGACTCGAACCTGCCAAAAAGACCTCATGTACGGTACTCCAGCTCGCCAATGTTCGTTATTTAACGCATTACATTTTGTTTGGGTTGTTTTCCTACTCATATACCTCGTCAACCAGATCACTAACTGTTCTCACATAGTGGGTGACTCCCCCGAAGTGTTCTACAATAGGCCATTCGCACGATGGTGTCATTTTTACTACTGCGACTCTCTCATTGAGAGTGACCACTATTTCGAGACGTTGACTCCTTTCATAAAATCTTGGACAAAATAGATGGAAAATTTATACTACTCCCCCCCCCTCTCCACCAAATCAAGGATGGGAAAACGGCGCGTTTTGGCTGTCGCGCGGCTTCATCAGTCCATGATTTAAGGGGTATGGAGGTTTACTGTTCTATCAATTTTTATTCTACGCAAGGTTGTAGGTTTGCGAAAGAATTCCGAATTCCGGTTCCTGGTTTCCCAGACGCGTTCCCAACCTCGTTCCCACGGTTGTCTCCTACCCGTCCCCACGGAGCGATAGAGAGAGACAGAGAGAGACGGGTAGGAGAGAGAACCTGGGAACGAGGCTGACGCGTCCCATAGCAGAGGAGCGGGGGTGCTGAGTGATTTTGCTGGTCATTGTTAAAAAAATGAGTGTTTCTTTAATATTCCTTGTAGTTTATGCCCTTGGAACAATCTTCACGTAAATTCCATTTTTGGGGGCCATTGTTACTGTTGCCTCTAGTTGAAGGGGAACCTGAGATATAAAAAAAAAATTGCGTTAACCAAACAAATAGAAAGCTTATCCTGTTTCATTTTATTACTGAATTTAACTTCTGAAATAATAAGGGTTGACGGAGTGTGTGTAGCATGTCCTACCACTACCAGATGCACAGGCAGACCATCCGAACTGTTCGAGGGATCGTGATGTCACGCGCGACATCGTATCTGGCATAATTATTTACTGTATTCGTAAAGCGCGCTCTTGGCTTGATATAAGTGATCAGGAGAAATGCTTCATAAAACACAGAAATTTGCACCTTTCGACCCCAAATATGAATGTAAGGCAAGAAAGATGAATAAAGATTACTTACAATTTGTTTTTAGAGTCGTCTACTGTGATTTTGTGGCGTTTTGAGTCGCTTGAAACTGACACCCCGACTAATATTACAGTATTAGTGACATCATCATGCCTCGAACAGTTCGGATGATCCGGCTGTGGTCCTACCATTAATTCAGTTTCGACCTCACTTCATTTGAAGGTGACCATCCAAAAGTGACGTCAATATGGTTGACAAATGTGTCTTACACTTGGATTTAAATTGTATTGGAGATGTTACAGGAGTGAAGCACAGACGTTTGTCAAAGGTTAGACAATCCTGGGGGTGAGTAACCTGCGAGCTGAGGCCCTTCGATCTTCCTAGATAAGTCGGGAACAGGAAGGGACCTTCCTCTTCACGACTTATCTAGTAACATCGAAGGGCCTCTGCTCGCAAGGTAGGGGGTGAGTGACCCAATAAGAAGAAAAAGATAATCCTAAAAGGTGTGTAATGTTGACACGGCTCAAATTTATGTATTCATGTAAGAGGTACCTATAGAGCCTTTTCAAAAGTATGACACTTTCACCATATTGTTGTCCCAAAACAATAAAATGATGGCCATGTTGGTAT